ATTGTTAGAATTGAAGATCTTTGAGAGGATCGTACAGCTACTCGTGTTCGACTTTCTGAATGAAGGGAAGAGGGACATGCATGCGTGATATGTGGCTTTTTGTGAGGCGCGCACAGAAAAACAGACCGACGCCTAGGCCGCCTTTTGGAATATTGACCACGTGGATGAGAAGCCATCATGCAGAAAACGAATATATTTTGAAAAGAACAGGATATTTCGCCGACATGTGAAGGTCTGCATGCCTTTTGTTCATGAAGATGGCGAAATGAGGTAATTGAAGCAGAAGAGCACGAAAAATAGATTTATATAGACGCGAACAGAGTCGGGCTAGCACAAGCACGTGAAAAGGTGGCGCATCAAACAGTCTCTTAACTAGCGATGATGACGACGCTCACCAAACAGAGATGAATATGACACCCAAATAAAAAGCCGAGGCCCGGCACTAGATACGAGACATATTCCCAGCCCAATAATGATATGCAGCCGGTCTTTCGCTACGCCCAAACACCGCGGAAATGCAACTCTGCTGTACATATACACACATATCTTAGCCGAGCCTGTCGCTCGCGCGGTTCAATATATCAGCCGTCTTCTTGATGGCTTTGGATGCGGCATCCCAGTCTTTCTTCTCGATTGCTTCGCGTGCGAAGGGGAAGACACTGGCTTCGAGGCCGTTGTTGAGGTCGGGGGCGAAGACGACGTGTTTGTATTGATCGCGGTTGGGAAGCTGTCTGTGTGTTAGTTCATGATGACCATATTTACGGCGCGGTTGAGAAACTTACACCATGCGGTCCCTTGTCATCCTTTCCCCTCGCGAGATCAAGCAAGTCTGTCTCGAAACCCGCGATCCTCCCATTGTGGCCTACCCTCTGTATTGTGACACCGCTACTTTCGAAGCCACCAGTGGCATAGACTTGGTTATACCAACTTTGTTCCCACCGACCGAACGTCTCTGCTTTCTTCTTGAACATGCTCAGACTGTCGACTAGAGGTTGGAACATCTCAATGTCGTACTCGCCACCACCGCTTTTCTTCTCAGTCCAGTCCAACAACTGCTGGCCTTCTTCCTGCAGAGCGCGGGCGTAGTCATCAATCTTCATAGGAATGATGGGCTCTTGAGCGAGCTCGAGGATGAGAAGAACCCAGAGTTGGGCGAGCACGGCGTGGTAAGCGAAACCGGGGTCGATGTATTTGCGCATCCAGGAGAGAGTCTCGTAGCAGCTGCGCGCAATGGGGTTTGATTGACCCTCTTTGCTGGTGAAGCCGAAGTCGAGTGAGGAGGTACCAGCAATGGATTGGAAAGCAACGTAGTCGCTTCCAGCAGCTAGGTTACCAATTTTGGAGTCCGAGGTCTCCCACAGCTCCTTCATAGTCTTGTTCTCCCGGGGGTCGGAAAGTCGGTCGAGCACGCGCGTCCAGGCGTGTTGGAAGATCGGAGAGCCTTTGGCCCACAGCTTGTCACCCGTTACACCTACGTCGACATTCAGGTAGGCGATGGCGCTATCTCGAAGGGCTTGTACGTTGGCTTCAACATGCTCGGTAGAGCCGATTCTGTTGTATTCACCAGCGTCCCAGGACGCAAATTCGATTGTGCGGAGCGGTCGCCATCCTTGCGAGCGCAACTCGCCTAGTACACGTACAACTTCGAGCATGACAGCCGTGCCAGAGCCAGGGTCTGCCGCACCGAAACACCAGGAATCGCGGTGGTTACCGATTATGATCTTGCTAGCCGGATCTTCGCTGCCCTTGAGAGATCCGAAAACATTGGTGATCCGCTGTTGTTCGACCTCATCCTGGTCGTTTTGCAGGAACACCTTTGGCGAAGTCTTTGGATGACCAGAATACCAGTGCTCACCAACATCCGGTACACCACCAATCCATTCATCTGGCAATTGCTCGCCTGAGCCTTTGAGCGACTTGAGCAGCTTCTGCGCATCCTTCCACGAGAGCGGTAGACTTGGGATTTTTGGCAAGGCCGGGTTCTTGTCTCGGGGCATGCGCTCCACCTTCTTGAAGCTCGGCAGTCCAGGCGTGAGCACATCTCCCATGATCATATTTGTCTGTGCGACGGATCCTCGCTGCACGCTGTCTCCAGGCCGCCACTTGCCATCTGGCCAGGGATTCCCCTTCTTGAAGCCGTCATCTGCTGGGTCCGAGTATACCAAGACTCCCACAACCCCAGCATCTTGCGCAGCCTTGATCTTCATGGATAGATCTGGCTGTGTTCCGTAATATCGGCAGAGCGCAATCGCTCCTTGTACGTCCACCCCGCTATCCCATAATCGCTTGAAGTCTTTCTTGTCGCAGTAGTTGACATATATCAAGGGCCCGGTGGCGTTTCCTGTCGCAGATAGGCCATGGTAGGCGGGCGTTTGCGCTTTGGCAGGATTGAAGACGGACGGCTCTTCGAGTTTGGCCTCCCACTTCTTATCCTGTGGCTCGACGATGGCGACCCTCCGTCCGCCCTTCTTCGCGTAGTTCATGTATACGTAGTACCTGCACTAGTTAGCGTGGTCTTTTGTGACGTCTCACAATGTGTAACGTACTCGTCGTGGGTATATGTGTCCATGTGCGCATCCTTGAACTTGCCCTCGATCCACTGTCCCAGCACATAACTCCCCTCAGTGCCCCCTATGTGGTCGTAGCTTGTAATGTATTCCAGATTCTTCTCAATTCGCCAGCTCTCGACGCTCTCCATAGCCGTCGACCGTACCCACTCGGGGTTGAATGGCGTGCCGAATCCTCCGCCCATGGGCACCACCTCGCTGACGACCAGCAGGTATACCAGAACGATGATCAGTATGAGACCGAACAATCGCGCGATAATCGACCATCCCGGCTTGTATTCTTCCGGTATCGTCGGTATGTGGTCCGTCATGGCGCTGAAGTTGGGACGCCAGCTGGGCCAGGGTATTCGCGGCAGATTCCAACTCGATAGGGAATGTCTGATGCTGTAGAAGCGTTTCGAGAACCTGCCTCTTGATCGATTCCGCCTCGAGCGCCCCTCCTCAGCAGACTCTGGATCTAGAATGTCCATCTCCTCCATGGTCTGGCGCAGGTCCTCGTCCTGGCTCTCTCGCACCGGACTCCCGAGATCCGAGTCGCCATCGTCGTCGACCGACTGTACGGAGGGGGCCTGGTAGTATCCATTGCGCCTGCGCGGATCGGCTTGTATGCGCACATCCGGGCTCAGGAGGCCTTGCCGCTCGGCATCGTCGCTGGTCTCGTTGGGCCCGAGGCGCGCAGGGGCGTTGCGCGAGGAAGTCGCCTCGTCGTATGTGGGGATGGGTGGCGGAGATGGCTCGCGGACGTAGCCATGTTTCTCGTCGCTCATGGCGAGCTAAAACCACGTGAGGGTGTTGTCGTACACGTGGTGCGCGGTGTCGTGGTAAGGGATGCTCGCTCGCCCGCGGCGAATAGTCCGCAGGAAGCGAATGCTGCGTACGCGTATGCTTTGAAGGGTAATTGGGTAGATGGACTATCGATTGGGCATGTACATGGTGCACGGGTATAAGGAACGACGACAACTATATCAATACAGGCAAGAAGAAGGCGGACGAGGGGCTGCGTCTTGTCGGATGCAGGTGGCTGATGTGCATCCAGCATCTGGGGATGGCGGAGCGGAACATGGGTGCCGAGACCCTGTCCAAGATCTTGGTAGTTGAAACCATAGCTGTCTATCTTTGCGACTGCATCACCACGGCATGTGTTTGAGCTTGGAAAGAAGTTTGTCAGTTGTCGCACGAGGCTTGCACTTTTCTACATGCCGCGCCCTCCAGTCACCTTGATCGTTTCTCCGTTTACATAGCTGAACAGCGGACTCGCAACCGCCAACACGGCACTCGCCGCCTCGGTCGCCGTGCCCGGTCTCCTCAGAGGAATGTCCATGTGTTCCTGGCCCTGCCCTGCGCCTGCCTTCTGCGCCTGTGGTATTCCCAGCGCTACCTTCTCGCCGTCGGGCGTGGTAATGAATGCGCCAGCCTCCTTCGCCGCCGTCAACCGTGTCTGGATGTGGCCAAAGGCTACTGTGTTGGAGCGCACGCCGAATTGAGGGCCCCATCTGAAGACGCATTAGAGGGCAATACATTGGAGTGAGAGAGGGGGGTACATACTCTTTCGCAATGGTCTTGGTCATGCCGGTCACACCTGCCTTCGCCAGCGCGTAGTTGATCTGTCCAGCGTTGCCGTTCACACCACTTGTGCTGGAAATGTTGATGATATTCCTCGGCTCGCCGTCCTTGACCCTGAAGTATGGCGCCGCAGCCCTCACGATCTTGAAAGGCGCTGTCGCGTGCAGGTCGACAATCGTGTGCCATTGCTTGTCTGTCATCTTGTGGATGACGCCATCCCATGTGTAGCCGGCGTTGTTCACGATGATGTGGATCTTGCCGCCTCCGAACTCAGCGGCCTTTGCAATAAGCGTCTTGATGTAGGCGTCGTCGAGCACGTCGCCTGCGACAGCCAGGGCGCTGCCACCAGACTCGTTGATTTCCGCAGCTACCGATTCTGCCTTTTCTATACCAATTGTCAGCCCGTGTTTGCATGCAGCAACTGCATTGACTTACTGGCATCTACATCGGCAACCACAACCTTCGCGCCTTCCTTTGCAAACAGTTTCGCAGCCTCGGCGCCAATTCCCTGTCCTGAACCAGTGATAATGGCGGTTTGGCCAGCCAATATACCCTTGGGGTAGTTGAGATGGCCTGCAATCTGATCGATGCGCTTAGAGTAAGACATTATACTTGGAATATTGCGTTCACTTGGGAAGTGAACCAGAGATTATGATTATCTCACTGAGAAGACACCTCAAGGTTTATGGCCGCTCCTTCCTGAAATGCGGAGTAACTCAACCGCAACGGCCGACATCATCACTGGCGAAGCCGAGGTTCACGCCGTTAGCGCGTTTTGCCAGACGCGCCTTCCTAGGCACCTAGGTTCGGCTGACTCGACTTACGACACCAACGCCAAACAACATGTAACGACGTACTATTCAGATGGGCCTAAGGCTTCCTGCTGTTCTCTAGCTGCACATATGCCTGCTCAATCTCCTCAGAATAGTCCTGCTCAACAGCTTTCCGCTGCACCAGCTGCTTCAAGCTGACTTTGAGCGGTTTCTCCTTCTTCGCGATCATGACGGTCTCCCTAGGAATCCTGATCTCATCCATGTCGGTCTTATTGGTGGCAGCAACCACCCCATTGTAAAGCTCCTCGAGCAGCTGCGCCTCGCTCTTTCCGTCCAGCACACCTTCCTTTGCTTGAGCAATAACATACGGCGCAGGCCGGGCTTCGCCACCTACCAGCACATTTTGCACGTCTGGATGTTGCAAAATACGCCTTTCAATATCCTGCGCATGAAACTTGGCCAGCCAACTCAGCTTCGTCAAGTCGTCTTTGCGCGCAGAAAACGCCCATCGCGTGCGGCCATCAGAGTCCTTGACAGGCCTGTAGAGCTCCTTCGTTTCGATCCGCCCCAGGAAACGATGTCCCGGGTTCCAGAAGGCCGATTGGAAAGGATTGGTGCGTCCATCGCCAACGTTCTCCAGTATGAGCTCGTGGAGATCGTCCGAGCCTACGTCCAAAGGCACCATCCGATGACCGTTCCCTGGAACGAAGTCATGGGTATACCAGAGCCTTCTATCGGCTGGTCGTAAGCCGACCTGATCTCCATTTTCCGTGGAGCCGATGAGTGGGCTCACTCTCGTGTGCTGACTAAGGTCATCTCCAATCGCTCGATCTAATGGTGCACCCGTGTATGCAACGAAGTCCAGTGACTTCAGCATTTGTCGAGTTTCTGGATCCGCATAGAGGCTGTTGATAGTGAATGGAGGGCACCTGATGCCTTCAATCCTGTTCATCGACGTGATTTTCTTGAACAGGGCGGGGGTCAGGGTAACTTCGTCTCGTGGCATCATGACGCAGGGACTGTCTAGGAAAACCGGGCTCAAAATCATCGCATGTAAGCCGGCTATCCATTGCGGTGGACATGGGTTAAGAGACGTCTTTCCGATCCAGCTTTCGTACTGAATGCCGCGGGGCCAATGTCTTCGACTCAGTATGGGCACATGCTTCGACGTGCTCCACATGCCGTTTGTGTGGAATATAGGCTTGGGATCGCCTAAAGAGAGGTGAGCTATTGAGATGTCGAGCCAATCCAGAGAGCATACCAGTAGTGCCGGATGTATGGATGATGACGAATTCATCCCATTTGGCCTCTTCGAACGTTTTATCGTATGGGTATCGTTTCTGCTCTTCGTTGTAAAGCATCCATTCCAGCGACGGCAAAGCACATAACTTCAAGCCCGACTCCGGCCCGACCAAAGGGCCTGCAGCACCATCTTCAGGATACAACCATACTTTGCAACTAGCCGCTGCAATCAAGCCTGCAAGCCCCTCTTTGGTCACACGCCCATCCGGAACCAGCAACTGCAGAGGCTGTTATCCAAGAGGTTGCACAGAGTACCTCAATAACTTACTTTTCGTCCATTCTTGGCTATGGCTGGTATCAAGATGGCATACCTTGGATCGTTGGGCCCAAAGTAAGCCATCGTCTCACGATCGACCGCCTTGCCAAGCTGCTCGTCGAACCAGAAAGCCATCTTGTCGATGGCGTTTGCATACTGCTTCCACGTAATCGTCCTGTAGCCGCATACTTCCCAATTGTCCGGTGCGTATCGCATGTACATATTGTTTGGTATCCATTGCGCTTTCTCTTCGATGGCATGCACGAGGAGTTGACCTTGGGGGTCTTCTAACTTGTTCTCTGCTGCGGTGGTCATCTTGGTATGTGAAAATGGGGACCTGACAGACAAGGGCGGGAGCAAGGTTGCTGTGGTCGTGAAGTAGACTTAATCTACATTCTTCGCCCGAAGCTGTCTTTATGTACGTTTCTTTTTCAATTATATCGACTAGGTAATCATGCCGCCTCCGTCTTACGCACGCAAAAGAATTGTCAGTCTATCAGATGTGCAGTGTTTGGTTGGCTCAGCCATCTGATACACGTCCAAACACTGGTATCGCCTATCAATCGGCCCGGTGCCAACAAAGCGCCATGTTTTCCCCCACTCGGCTAGTGCTGAGCTCATCAAGAGGACCTTTTTCGCATACAACCTTAACTGCCGGGCAGAAGCTTATATTGAAGCGGCTGTAGTTGCAAAGGTTGGGCTGCCCCACTAGGGTATCGGACATAGGCAATAGAGCTAGAAGTCAAGCTCCTCGACGCGCCACTCATGCTGTAATATATCTAAATGCAAAGCGCATTTGACGAAGAGACTGTACCCATCAAATCAACATGCAAGCATCTTTGGTCAATGCAGTGGGTGGTACTAGTGACGACGATCCGAAGGGCGACTCACAGCTCACTAATACATTTCTCACTTTCACATGCCGCACTAGGTGTGGTTATGATCCGTGCCGCAATCTGTGCGAAGGTTTCTAGATAAAAGCTTGTGGAATCTTGGAAATTGTTTAGTTGTCACATTTCTAATCATAAATGCTGCACTCCATCACGCAGAACGTAGCTATCGCGGATGTCAGTAATCAACGATGCATGTTTAGTTGCAATGTCACACAGCTGGTGCATGTGTCAGATGGCAAAGCCGAACCCGTCTCTGGCATCGTATTGGCTTTTAACTACGGGGTATAAAGAATTCTGTTGCAATTTCATCGACATATCGTCCATGTAACAGGCCTTAGACCTTAGTCTCGACATTCACGTTACCGATCTTCTTCTCTTCGCGGTCCTGCTCTTCCGCAATAACATCAGCGGGGATGCGATCTGGCGTCTGGTTCACCAGTACCAGCATCGGACCCAGAGCAAGTGCCATCAGGCCAAAAGTGACGCAGAAGCCGATGAGAGGAGATGTCTTGATTTGGGTGTTCATTCCGTAAGAGATAGCTTGTCCGATGGCCTCGAGACAGCGGAAAGCTGCGCCATTGCGTACGTTTGCTGTAAATCATCAGCGACTGAATCAAGAAGACTTGCTGAATGATGAGACATACCTTGAGCGTCCGTTGCGAAGGAAGAGAGTAGCCAGTACATGTAAGATTGCGACAGAGGTCCAGTCGTTTGCACGAAGAAGTATGGCAAGAAAGAACGCGCATACAGCGAGTCATCCCAGTCAATCTTTCCTGGGTTATTTCTGTTGAATCCGACTTGCATGACGATGGACCAGATGTAAACGCCAAGGTTGAGAAGCACGACGGTAAAGAGACCGATTTGTGCACGACGACGTTGGCTGACACCCTTGAGATCGAGGAGGAACCCGAGACCGAAACAACCGACGATACAGAAGAAGGGCGAAATGAGGGAGGAGAGAGCGCGGGCGCGGACGCTAAAGTAGGTTCCAAGATAGGTCGACCATGTTCCACTAATAGCTGATTAGCTGACGTTTCTACATAAGCGAGACTTGACTGACCTGTAGAAGAACGACCATATAGCCCAGAATGCGGAAAGCAGGATAAGCTTCGACGTCATGGTGATCTTGATCTGCTTGAACTCCATAATGGTGCCGATCTTCTCAGAGACGAGGATACGCGTTCCGTCTGAGCGTACGACTCGTTCAAGAGGTGAGATGAGGAAGGCGAATGGCAAGGCCATACATTCGATGATCAAAAAGGCGACGTAGGTATCTGGCGTTACTCCTCCTTCGACACCTTTCTCGTGGTTCTTTGACAGACTGTGACACAGATTTTAGCTGCTGCGAACTGGGCTCCAGTCTGCAGAACTCACTTGATAGCACCACCGACAAGCTGTCCCAAGTTTCTAGCAACGATCCAAAGAGCGAGGTACTTGCCACGAGATCCAGCTGGCGCGAGTGACATTATAGTTCCGGATTCTGCAACATACCAAGCACCGGTCCCGATACCAGTTATGAAGCCGCCCAAGATCAAGTACCATTGGTTTCCGAACTTGGAGTTGCAGTAGTAGGAAGAGCCGCGGATTGGAAACGAGCAGGCGCCGATGACCAAAGCCCATTTCGTTCCGAGTTTGTTGACGATGGGTCCTCCGAGAGCACAACAGACGGCAAGCATGGTGTAGTTGACAGCGGTCGCGATGTTCGAAGTCTGGGGAGTAGCGAGACCACCTCCGCCAAGGCCTGCAAACTTATCAATTCCAAGTACCGTTTCATGAGCTCAAAGACGACTTACCAGCAATAGCATCAGCCATCGCAGGACCGCAGAAAGCCTGCACACTGAGTAGCAGCATCTGCGTCAAGCTGTGCTGCCATATTCTCTTCCACTTTGGAACTGTTCTAGCATACTCTTCCATGTTGATTCTCTCGTCGGCGACATCGTATGTTGGAGGAGCGTTGAGCGGGTCGTTGCCCTTTGTGCGGAGCGCATCGTCGTCGCCGCCGGCATGTGTGTTGGGAGGAGCAGCGTCGAACTTAGACATCTTGAAATACTCTTACTGGGAAGACCAAAAACGATACGGAGCAGATGCGACTGAGCTTCGAGCTGAGGCGAGATCAAAGGCATCGCACGCGACCTTTATATACACCATGTCCCTCCCGCACACATCTACCTCCTACCGTCTGTCCGCGCGACCAGCATCGGCTTATCTGTGGATCCCGGAACTATGTTACCCCAAGCTGGGGTAAACGAGTCGTTCCCGTCCAGCTGATAGTGACTTGTGGAGTCAATCGCTCCGGTGATAGACCGGTTTCCGAGGGAAAGGGCTGTTTAGATGAGAGTGTAGACTAGGCTGGATATGGAAGTGCGAACAGTTTGGAAAAGTGGAGGTTGGGAACTAATGTGATTAAGGAATGGTAAGCTTGCGCTAGACATGGTTGCGAGGCTTCGATGTCGGGTTGATGCAAGGCGTGAGTCAGCTGTTCAGGTGCTCCGCGGGTTGAGGGCGAGTTTTATAGAGAAGAGGTTTGTTGATATCGCCCTTTGGCTGCATAGACCCGGTTTCGTTATCGCAATGTCAAGCATGGAAGGTCGTGGCCCTGCTTCATCCCCAAACCGGGCAGAATCGGAGAAACCGCCCGGGCTTGACGCATCGCTGACGTCCGCCAGCCTAACCCCGTTTGGAAGGGGTAACAGTCGGGGATCGCCAAGCGAGAACGGCCGCGATACTTGGGACGGCAGGCCTCAATTACTCAATCAAAACCTCGCGTGCTCGCATCTGGCGCGTGGAGAATGCGTCGCCATCGTGTCACCGTGCTGGTGGCGTGTGCAGCCTCTAGGGATACTTAACCGGCGGGATTACATCGTGGGTCGTTACTGATAACGACTTCCGGCAGCGCCTCCCCATTCCAACACGCGAGCCATTTCAAGCGCGATAGACTTTGATAGTTCAGCATGGCACCGTCGCGAGAGACTACGTCCGTCATCGTTGCTGGTGGTGGCGGGACGATAGGGTCGTCGACAGCCCTACATCTCGTACGCTCAGGATACAAACCTTCAAACATCACAGTGCTAGACACGTACCCAATACCATCGTCACAATCGGCTGGAAATGACTTGAACAAGATCATGGGCATCCGCTTGCGGAACAAAGTGGACTTACAGTTGAGTCTGGAGGCGAGACAGATGTGGAAAGAAGACGATCTGTTCAAAGAATATTTTCACAACACCGGTCGAGTGAGTATTTCAAGCGCAACCTAGCAAGAAATATATTTAGAGACTAACGGTATTTGCAGCTTGACTGCGCCCACAGTGAAAAGGGTCTCAAGGACCTCAAGCAAGCTTACCAGGCTCTTCTCGACGCGGGTGCTGGCCTAGAGACGACAACAGAATGGCTAGATTCGGAGGACGAGATCTTGAAGAAGATCCCACTCCTAGATCGCGAACAGATCAAAGGTTGGAAAGCTGTCTATAGCGATGACGGCGGCTGGCTTGCTGCAGCAAAGGCCATCGATGCCATTGGTGGGTATCTGCGCGATCAAGGCGTCAAATTCGGCTTCGGTGGAGCAGGATCCTTCAAGCAGCCTCTTTTGGCTGAAGGTGTGTGCGTTGGTGTTGAAACGGTGGATGGCACAAGGTATTACGCTGACAAGGTGGTTCTTGCGGCTGGTGCATGGAGTCCCGTGCTTGTCGATCTGCAAGACCAGTGTGTTTCGAAGGTATGTTATTTCAGCTCAGCTAACTACTTCCAAATTAACGTCTTCAGGCATGGGTATATGCCCACATTCAACTCTCTCCCAGCGAAGCCGCAGAGTACAAGAACGTCCCTGTAGTCTACAACGGTGACGTGGGCTTCTTCTTCGAGCCTGACGAACACGGCGTCATCAAAGTCTGCGACGAATTTCCAGGCTTCACACGCTTCAAGCAACATCAGCCTTTTGGCGCATCGGCACCAAAGCGCATCTCGGTACCTAGATCTGCTGCGAAGCATCCCACAGATACCTATCCGGATGCCTCCGAGGTCAGCATCCGCAAAGCTATTGCGACGTTCCTGCCAAAGTTCACAGACAAAGAGTTGTTCAACAGACATCTGTGTTGGTGTACAGACACAGCAGATGCGGCACTTTTGATGTGCGAACATCCTGATTGGAAGAATTTCGTGCTTGCTACCGGAGATAGCGGGTGAGTTTCTTCCTCGTTACGAATGCTGTTTTGCTGAGTTACTGACCTGATATGTAGCCATACCTTCAAGCTACTTCCAAACATTGGTAAGCATGTGGTCGAGTTACTCGAAGGTACACTGGCAGATGACCTCGCGCATGCATGGAGATGGCGTCCTGGTACTGGTGATGCGCTGAAGTCAAGAAGGGCGGCTCGTGCGAAGGACCTCGCGGACATGCCAGGATGGAACCACGATGGTGAGGCG